GCATAGAGACAGCTCTGCTCACCACTTCAGTTATATGTCTGTTCTTAGTGCAGACACACATATACAACAAAGACTGAAAGTTATAAATGACCAAAGCATAACCCTTAGCTGCTTTGGGTTACAAATCAATTTTCTTAATAAACTGAGTTCAAATACTATATACTAGTATGCATTATCAAGAATGATGTGCTAATCATTGCCAAGCTTGCAGTGTGCACAGTGTAAGACAGCGGGATATAAAAATTTAGTAATTAGAAAAGATTTAAAAAGGATAAAACAGAAACAAAGATTTGTAAATAGGGAAGGAGGGGCTGAAGGGAAGAGAGGGAATTAAGAAAAAAAGAGGAGTCAAAATATGTAACATATAAGTACAAATTCCCTATGATGCATATGATCATTATGTATATCTAAAATGTACCAATAAATTTAATTGTTAAAAAGTTTAGTAATTTAGAAAATCTAGTACAAAAATATCTTTCACTAGTGAAAGACTCAGGGTTTAGTTCAATAATTGAGCTATAATAGCATTTTCTGAATAGCCAAGGTTGAATATTAAGTTATCAATCACTGATTTGAGTGAAAGATGACACAACTAGAGAAACCACCATGGGTTAGGTAGTTAGTGCATTCCTGAACACAGATGTCATTTTTTTCCTTTGTGTACTGAAGAAAAATTAAATGTTTTTATTAATGAAGAAGCAATTTCTTTTTGAATAATTTCTTTAGATTTATACATTTATCAACTACAATCCTTGGTGGAATTAATTCCAAGCATTGGCTGATATGAAGTATGGCTCAGTCATATTGCCCATATCAAGTGTATCAAGTTTAAGCTTTATTTTTTGTTTTTTTTCTGTAAGAAATCTGATGATCTGCTGTGTTTTACTCTGGTTTGCTACACAATATGCTATTGTGTTCACACTGTATAATTCCAGCTGAATCAACCACAGCTTTTTCCCCCCATTCATCCTTGTTTATTCTGAGAACACTATCATAGCTTATTTCCATTACTGTTGATAAGCATTTGAGTAGTATTATAGATATATGAAAAATTAGTATTTAGGCATTCATATATACAAAATACCCACACAAATTTATACACATACAACACTTTAATTTTTATTGAGGAATAATATATCCAAAGATACATATCCAAGAATAGTACTACTTTTCACATGCTCAACATACAAGTACCTACTTATGCTTGTGCCCCTTCTCTATCATCACCATTAGCCTGACTTTACTTTTGGTGGCATTGGGTAGTGAACCCAGGGCCTTTGCACTGAGCTGTGTCCAGAACTTTTATATTTTTAAAATTTGAAACTGGGTCTCACTGAATTTCTATATTGTCCAGATCAGGCTCAAAGTTGTGATCTTCTTGCCTTTCAGAGTGTTGAGATCACAGGCATTTGCCATAGCACCTTTCTTTAGCCTGACTTTAAACAGCATAAGTAAGTTGGGTCTGTTTTTTTATGCTACATAAATGAAATCTTGTGAAACATATTCTTGTATGTCTCCTTTTACTGAGCATATTTAAGAGATTCATCTATGCTATTATATTTGAAAACAGACTGCTCATTTCTACCATTGTAGAATGAATTCTGTGATAGGAATATACCACAAAATATCCATTATATTTTGACTATGTCATTTCTGGTTTGGGAGTTATTATGAATACTATTAATTGGAGCAGCACTTTGGTGTACATTTGACATTGGTATGTTTCCAAGGATGGGTCATAGGATTTCCATATGTTTAAATGTAGTACATACTTTAAACAATTTTCCAAAGTGGTAGTACAATTTTCATAGCACATGACTTTTTGAGGGCTCATTCTAAGAGAGGCATTTCAGTCTAACTCTCCTTTTGGTAGCAAGCCCAAGGACGTGTGTTTGATCCCCAGCACTGGAGAAAGAGAACAAGTTTTCGAATCACTGAGATTAAACTCACTTTACCCCTAAACTGCCATATCATCTGGGACAAGAGGCTTAACTTAAACCATCCATTTACTAAACTATAAAGTAAGTACTGGAGTACATTAGATAAGTTTTGAAACTTAAAGAGAACTGAGAAATTTTAGTTGCAACAGTGACTAGTGCATAATAAATGCTTAACCTATTATATGGTAGTTGTTAACTTTTCATTAGTGACTACAGAGTGGAGAATTAGAAACAAACATCAGTAATACAACCTACAAACAAAATTCTGTTGTGGAAGACAACTATGAAACTCTCACCCACCAGGCATTACCAATTCCAGTGAGTACTACACTTGGAGTCTGAAAAAAAATAATTTAAACATTATCCCCAAATGCGTTTGCAAATTACTGCTGCCAGAGGCAAGGTTCTTAGATACAGAGTATTACCATTTTTTTTTTTTCTTTCTTTCTCCCAGACATTACTCTTGAAAGACAGGACTGCCAAGGGCTACTCTGGCAAGTCACTAATATAATACCTTTTATTATATTTGCCGATTTCACACTTTTCTCATCCCAGTCCCCAAAGTTCTTGAATAGTGACTGTAATTTCAACGCTACTTCCTGGTTTTCCTGGATTCATAGCTTGTACCTAAAACAACTTTCGTATCAGTAAAAATCGTAAAGATGAGCCCATGTCTTTGATCTGAATGACAAAGAATGTGGGTTTATCTCCTGGATGAGCATGATGACCTCAGTGTGGGCTTCAGCAGCTGCCAGGCTAGTGCCCCAGTATTTAACACAAGTACACTCTGTACAGGGATACCGCTTTACTTAATTGCTCCAGGGGCAGCAGGCTCAGTCGGCTTAGGTAATTTTGGAAGGTGACACTATGTTCCTATCAAATTGAATCAGATCCCATTTGTCAGTCTTTATACTAAAAAATAAAGCACACAATCTACTTGAAATGATGCCATCATTTGAGATAGACTCGAAAGAGAACTTTTTGAACATTTAACTGGACTTCTTTGATTTACAAGATGAGAAAACCAGTCATTTAAAAGTCTTGCCTAATGTCAAATGGTTTGTTCTTTGCACAGTGGGAAAGTTGTCTTCTCATTCACTGTCCAGTGATCTCTGCTTCTAGTGCTACGTCGTCCATCCCCACCCCATCTCCCACCCAGATTTTATAAAGATACTAACCAAGGACCCAGAGTGGAGAGGGTGCAGTGTGACTTAAAACAAGGGAGTGACAACGCATTAAAATGTTAAGTCCTGTAAGAAGAATGAGGCTTGCCCCCTAGAACAAAAGATTAAAGGAGGGTGGGAGGCCCTTTCTCTTTTGGGAATCATTGTATTCTTAGCACCTAGAACAGTGCCGGGTAAACTAGGTAAACCTTGATTAGCGTCAAATGGGGTTAAATCAGTTTTATGGAGGTCAGCGAGGGAACATGTACCTCCTTCCGTTAGTACAGATTTGGGTCCTAAAAGAGGAGAAACCGTGCATAAAGCAGGCAACACGGTGCCTGGCTCGTTGTGAGTAATAGGTGTCAGTTCATTTTTCTTCCTTTCCAAGCATGGGCTCGGTTCCGAGGGGGACAGGGTGATGAGCCACGGTGTCTGTGTTTGCACAGTGGACTGTCTTTAAGAGGCTGGCGAGAGAGGCCTTTCGGTGTCTTTCTGATCCGCAGAAATCAATTCCAGTGCTGGGCAAAACGCACAGTTATTTTACGCAGCGAATACGGTCGCTTTTGTTGATCGATTGTGGGCTGCAGTCAGCTTTTTAATACAACTTTTTATAAGCATCAGCTACGTTGCGGAAGGAGGAGGGGCAGCGGTGGGAAAAGTATGGGAAGCACACCAGTTTTCTCCTAAAAAAGTACAAGCGCGGGCGGCGGTTCGCGGCGGTTGCGGGTCTGACCGCCCGGGGCTGGGACGGTCCCGCCCCTCGCCCGCGGCGGCTACCGAGTTCAAGTTCGCCCGCTGGCCTCCCGCTCTACGCGCCCAAGCGGCCCGCGCGTCCCCCGCTGGCTGGCCGGGAGGGGGAACCCCGAGGTCACCCGGGCGCGGGGTCACTCGGCCACGTGCCGTGCTACCACGTGGGGAAAAGTTTCCAACTCCGCCTGTTGGGCCTCCCAGCGCGTCAGGGCGGAGCGGAGGCCCGCGCTCAGGCACTCGCTCCCTTCTCTGTCGCCTCTAAGTCGCAACCTGTTCCTCGAAAAGCCCCCACCCCTCGAGGGTCCCTTTTCTGAATTTCCTCCTTGCTCGGCTTGCACAGGTCACCCGGGGAAACACCTCACGGGACTCCGAAACGGAGGTCTGAGAGCCCCGGAGGCCGCCAACGGGGGACCCGGAGCAAGTGTCCCGAGGAAGGCGCGGGGGGCGCGCAGGGACCGCGGCCCCGCACGCGTCCTCCGCGCGCCTGGCGGGCTCCGCCGCCGACCTCCACACCTCGGCGCGTCAACTCCGCCGGGCCGCGTCCGACCCCACGCGGGCCGCAACCCCTCACACCCCGGTCGCGGCGCCCCGCCGCCCCCAGTGCGCAGGCCCGGCCGCCCCAGCGCGCATGCCCTGGGCTCGCGAGCGCGCGGCCGGCCCCCAGCCTGTGCTTTCCACACACTCTACAACTGGGGAGGGGGCGGGGGAGGAGGGAGCCCAGCCTGAGCCCACGTGATCCCGCCGGCCGGGGCCGCGGGGGCGGGAGCGCGCGGCGAGCGAGGCGCGGAGAGGAGGGAGGCCCGCGTGCGCGCGCGCGCGTGCGTGGTCTCACTA